TGCGCGCTCGGCCGCCTGGAGAAGCTGTACGTGAGCGGCACGGGGCTGCGTGAGCTGCCCGAGGAGATCGAGGAGCTGCGCGAGCTGCGCATCCTGGCTCTGGACTTCAACAAACTCGAGCGCCTGCCCGACGGCCTGTGCCGCCTGCCGCGCCTTACGCGCCTCTACCTGGGCGGCAATCGGCTGCTGGCGCTGCCCAACGACTTCGCGCAGCTGCAGAGCCTGCGCTGCCTCTGGATCGAGGGCAACTTCCTGCGGCGCTTTCCGCGGCCGCTGCTGCGCCTGGTGGCGCTGCAGTCGCTACAGATGGGCGACAACCGGCTGCGCGCGCTGCCCGCCGACCTGCCACGCATGACGGGCCTGCGCGGCCTCTGGCTCTACGGCAACCGTTTCGAGGAGTTCCCGCCCGCGCTGCTGCGCATGGGTCGCCTGCACATCCTCGACCTGGACCGTAACCGCCTGGGCGGCTTCCCCGACCTGCATCCCCTGCGCGCCCTGCGCGTCTTCTCCTACGATCACAACCCGGTCACTGGGCCCCCGCGCGTCGCAGACACCGTCTTCCTCGTAGGCGAGGGCGCCGTCGAGCGCATGGCGGAGCGCGACGAGCCCATCCCCCGGCCGCCACCCCGGCGCCCTGTGCCAGCCTTTGAAGATGAGGAGGAAGAAGACCTGCTTATAGGGGGCGGTGGCTCCAGGGTTCTGGGGCCTTCTGGGAGCAACCTCCGCGCCCTGGAAGCCGCTCCAGGACTGGGCACCTGAGCCTGTGTTCTGGGTGATGGTCTTGGGCTTCTCTGGGAGGAGGGGCTCTGGGAAGGTCCGTGAGAGCGGTGGGCAGAGGAGGGGCCACTTTGGGTGAGCTGCCGGGGACAGGCAGGCCTGGAGGCCATCTTCAGACACTCCTGGGTAGTAAGGAGACTGCCTTCTGGCTGGTCTCTGGGCAGTCGTCAGACCAAGAAGTCCGGGCTCCATCCAGTCCCTTGTGTTTTTGTCCTGTCCCTGATGGCGTCACTGACAACACTCTAGAGGCTCCGGCTTCTACCTGGAACCAGGGTCAGCACCCTCTGCGGAATCGTCACCTGAGCTGAGTCTGGATGCCCAGGGTGCCCACCACCGTCCCTTTCTCCTCCAGGAATTTGGATCTCCTAGACTTACCCTTTCTGGTGCAGGAGCTGCTACCTCTGGGTGGACCGCATGCCTGTGCAAGGCAGGACTGCCTGCCCTTGGAGGACGGCTTGGCCCAGGGGTCTGGAGGGACTGGTGCCCAGGACCGAAGTTGGAAACTGGGACTGGGGCCCCAACACCGCAGCTGCCCTTGCCCCTCCTTTGGGGCTCATCGTACATACCTCCCTCCCCAGGCCCCCCAAAATTTGTATGGGGAAGGGGCACTCAGGAGGCAGGGTCTCCACCTCTGTCTTTTATTCAGTCCTCTCCTTCCAGCTTGTGCCTAGAAATATGCTGGGAAAAGAGCTCTGCCTTCTTTCTCCACAGCCTGAACCCTCCAGCTGTCAATTTTGAAAAGAAGCCACTGCGCCTCTAGGCCTCCTGCACAGAAGAGAGGGGCTCTCTGCCCTGGGAGGCTGTCTCAGTGCCTCTCCCATTGCCTGCACTCCCCATGCCCTTAAATGGGCACAGTCAGTGTGGCTGGCACGGCGTGGGGCATGGGACGAGCACTGTGTGCCTCTACTCCGTCACCAGGGACAGCCTCAAGGGGGTGAGAGTGGAGTCTCGCTCTGCAATTCCCAGGGCCGGATCTTTCCCACCCAAGCAATAATGGGAGGACGGGGCCAGGGCCGGGGACACTCAGGGACACCGTCAGGGCCAGGGGCCCCACATGGTAGTGTTTTCTTTAGGAAGAAGAAAAAAAAAACTGGCTGTAAACATAAAATACATTTCTTGGAGAAAGAATGTGCATTTCCCACATGCCTGTTTATTTATAAGCCCTGGGAGCACTGGGTCCCATTGCTGTGGGGACCCTGGGCTCCTTCTGGCACTGCCCTCTGTCCATGTTCCCCAGCTCTGCTTTAGCCGGGTCCAGCCAACTGTGCTCTGTCTGGGGAACAAGCACTTTTCCTCGGTCACGAAGGGCTTTGGCTGCCGAAGGCTGGTTTCAGGTCTTGGAGTATCTTATCTTACCCTCTGCATCCCAGCCCCTTACATCACCCTCCACCCTTCGGTCTTCACCAGCTGAATTCTCAGATCCCAGGCCCTTAATATGTTTTTGAATCTCCCTCAAGCCGGGCTTACCTTTCTCTATTTCTTCACTGGTGCTGACCTCCAACCTTCCCTCTGTGACTCTTCTTTTCTCCTTCCATCTCTGTTTTCCTCTGTCTCTCCCTCTTAGTCTCTTTTTATTCAGTTACGGTGTCACTTTCTCCTCTCATTGTTCAGGAAAAAAAAATATTGAAGATTTAAAGAAAGGAGGAAAATTGTAAAGCCTCAAGCCTAGAGGCCTATCTCCCATGAGAAGATGCTGCCAGGCCACCGTCACCATGGCAACAGGACTGATGTCATTCAAGGCCCAAAGGTCAGGCCTGGCCCAGCAGCTCTGCTGGCAACCGGGCTGAGCCTGGGTTAGGAGGAGGCCAGGAATGGTCTGGAGCCGTCAGCCTGTAAACGAGAGTGAACGCTTCGAATGGGCAGAAAGAGCCGGTGCGTGGGAAAGATTGGAGGCTGCCTCCTTTTTGAGGAGGAAGAGGGGTCTGGGGCTGCTGCAGACTTTGTGTCTCCTAAGGCTCCTTAGGTGCCCGTGCTCCCCCTGTCGTGGCTCCATCAGGGCCAGTGGGCCTTCCCGGTTCTGGGAACTAGGGGTGAGGAACTGAGATCTCAGGTCACTCAGGTGGTGTGGGCGTGGCAGCAGGCCAGAGACTGTCCTCTGACCCCATGACGCAAGTCATGGCACGGGAGAACTATCGCCAGTCCTGGAATCAGAAAGCATGGGTTCCAGTCCCAGTTCTGTTTTTGACTGAGTGACCTTGAGTAAGTCATGGCCTCTTGGGCCTCAGTTTCTCCATCTGCACACGAGGAGCTGGGTTTATCTAGATCCAATGCTGCAACTCAGGACTCTATGCAACCTGATGTTCCTCTACTTTCCCTTCATGCAAATCTTTGATGTAAGGGATGGGGGGTGTGGGGAGCCATGGTCACCCTGGAGTAATGACTGCGGGCACTACCCTTCCTCTCTCTGGTCCACTTCCCTGCCCCTCTCTTCCCCTGTTGCGTTTGCCCGTGATGTGTCCCCCGGGCCATCCTGAGGCCCAGTCCTCAGCTTCGCTACTCTCTCGCTCTCCACCGTCAGTTCCTTCTGAGAAGTTAGAGAGTTTGCTTAGAGTGGGTGCTGATGCCTGGCTTGGGAGCACTATTGAGGGGCTCTGCCTCCATGCAGAAATGGGGGTGACCAGGGTACGAAGGGAGTTGTTGCCAGGGACAGCTGGGCATCACAGCTCCCCTCGGTGCTAAGAGAGTACTGTATACCGAGTCCTAGCCCGCCCCCCACCTAAGTGCCGGTGACTTCTCACTTGGCCTCAGGGCAGCAGGGAGAAGGGGAGACGATTTTGGAGGGACACTTGTAACAACGCCAGGTCCGCAGTTCCCTGAGTAGTGTGGGGGCAGTGAGCGGTGTGTGGGCCATGGGGTGGCCGGGCAGGAGAGCCCTGGCAGAGCTGCGTTTGTGCCAGGCAGGCAGGGCAGAGGCCCAGGGAGTCGGCAGATCGGGGCGGGCAGGCAGGCAGTGGGGACCAGGAGGACAAAGGCAGAGGAGGTGGCAGCGCAAGAAACAGGCCCAGGGAGGGAGTGACTTGCCCGTAAATGGATATTAGGGTTCCTAACCCAGGGCTCGATCCACACTGCGGGAGGCCCCCTCTGTCCTTGGCTGGCGGTCAGGTCTGGGTGTAAAGTGGGTGGCAGCCGTACCTGTTCTTCCTCCCTCCTGGAGCCTCCAACGACCAGAACCCTTGGCCCGCAGAGCAGCCAAGATGGGGGGGGCGGGCTCGGATCTTTTCTTAGCTTTACTACCACCATCCCACTCTTCCTGCCCACCCTTGGGGGGCTCGGGAAAGCAGAACGGGATGGCTTGGGGACTGGGGCCCTTGTCCAGATGCACCTCCCTGCCTCCAAAGCCACCACATGGGCTTGCTTAGCCATCTGTCTCAAAGCTTCCTTAAGACACCCGGGCGCTCTTGTTCCGAGGATGGACATTTATTAGCACACCCAGGTGTGCCACACAGAACATGTACTCAGACAGGGGGCCCTGCCCAGGGGGGCTCACAATCTAAACGAGACACAAAACATACACACAGGACACAAACACAGGGAACAGGGCACCTTCGAGGGGCACAGATGGTCAGGGGAGCCACGGGCTGGGGCGTACAGCATGTTCGAGCGTTGTCCTTCTGGCTGTCTTTGTGGGGGAGGGGAGGAGAGCCGGATGCCGTCCAGGACGGCCTTACAGAAAGCTGTGGAAGCCAGGAGGGACTTGCAGGAGCAAGAACACCATGGGACTGTGGGCCCAGGCCCAGGGAGGGAGAGGCGAATCTCTCAGTATAGTCGTGGATGAAGAGAGACCCCGTGAAGCGAAGGCAGGAGAATGAGGCAAAAAGTCCAGGAGGAGGCCCCGAGCCCACGGCAAGGGGCCGTCACCTCTGCGGGGGCCGAGCCGTCCCTGCTTTCAGGCCCAGTTTTCCAGAGCCATTTTCCCAGAGAAAGTCTGAACAGAGGTTCTGGCAAGGGGCGCCCTTGAGGCTACTTACCTGACCCTAGGTCTCTCTCCAATCCCTGGGACAGAGATCAGAGGACAAAAGAGATAACCGCCTTTTAATCCTACGTTTAAACCAGGTTGTCAGTAAATTGATGGGGCAGGAAGGGAGAGGACAGGCAGCTTCAGGTGGGGGTGCTTAGTGCACCTCGAGGAAGCAGCTGCCAGCCAGGTGCTGGGGAGCAGAAAGCGTGATGGCCCCCTTCGCTCTGGCGTGGGGCAGGAGCCGGCAGGTGGACACATGACAAGGGGGGAGGGGGCTCGTTGCCTTTGTGCCTAAAACAGAGGTAGCACCTTCCTTCTGAGGTACTCCGAGAACTAGTAGTCCTTCCCCTGGCGGCTGTGTGGGGGCGGGGAGGAAAGGGAAAGGGGCTGGAACGGTTGGCTATTGCTCCCTTGAGGTCTGAGAGACCGAGACCGGAAGAAGGAAATCGTTTTCCTGGGGCCACGGTGGCTGGAGAAGCGAGCGCTGGGGCGCAGTTCCCTCAGGCTGGGTCTGGCTATGGGCTTTTTTAGAGTTGGAGAGATTTTTCTAATCCTAAAGGATTCAACCTGAAAAGGGTGGAGAGATGCCACGGCTTCAGCCCACAGAGCTGGAGCTCCACAGGGACCAGGAAGGGGGCAAAATGCTGACTTGAACCCGCAGTGGCCCAGCCAGGGTTCAGGCGGTGGTGGGAAGGTGGAGGGTCTCCTTTTGATTTGTCTGACCTGCTTCGGATGGTAGTGAGGGTCCCCTGGGCACCGAGGGAGGGGATGTTGGAGTGGGTGAGCTACAGAGGTACCCCTCAGACCTCAGGAAGACTCCACTCCCAACAAGCCTTGCTTCAGGCCCAATCTGCGAGGAGTAGCTGCTCCCTCGCCCTCTGGGCAGCTGCTAGATTGACATTCTAGATCTGAGGACGGGCCTAGCCTCATCACCAGTGAAGACAAATCTCCAAGGTGAGAAGTTGAGGGGAGACTCAGCCCCAGGCTACCCATCCCCCTCAACCACTGCCTCTTCCCCTGGGGGGCGAGAGAGGGCTGGGGCCCACGGAGGAAACAGCCAAGGCCCTACTTTTCCACGATCCTTTATTAATCAGAACGGGCCTTGCCACAAAAAACAGGGCCCATTCCCACAAAAATATGATTTTGCAAAGAGGAAGTCTTGCTGGCTTAGAGGGTGCGTGTGGTGGGAAATTTTTGTATGGTTCTTTTTTCCTTTTTTTTTTCTTCAGTTTGTCTTCATTTCTCTTCGCTGCAAAATTTTTTGTGACGGTGGGTTTTGTTTTTTTTTTTTTTTTATAAAACACTTGCGCTCAAAGACTCAAACACAATACAAACAACGGCCACCGATCCCCACCCCTGGGGCCCCATCCGGGCTGGGGGGTCTGGGGGGCCCCCTTGGCTGTTTTGTGGCTGTTTTCCTGGTGTCTGGCGCCGGTGGGCAGGTGCGGGGTCCTAGGGCAGGTGGAATTGTACAGCAGTTCCGTGGGGAGATGGTCACAAGAAAGGACACCTGAACAACGTAACGACTAAGTCTAGGGTGCCCACAGAGACAGCAGATGACGCTCATGAAGGGACCTGGGATACAGAGAGAAGAGACAGATAGGCCCAGGTGGGCCCTGGCTATCCCTGGAGGCTCTATGGGAGGAGGGCAGGTGGGCCTTGCTTTCAGACTACAGTAATAATACTTTGCTCGCGGGTAGCACCTTCTGAGTTCTCCTGTCTTGACCCCCAGATCAGGTGACGGCGGCCTCACAACCTCCCCTATGAGGTAGGTGAAGTATTATTACCATCATTTTACAGATGGGGAAACTGAGGCCCTGGGAGTGTGGGAGAACCGCCCAAGGTCCTGGGATGGTGGCTGGGCTCCGGTGCCCTCCCCCACCCTCAAGTTCCCCCATTCCTTGTTCTCCTAGATGCCTAGACCTCCCCCACCCTCACCCCATACCACCCGCCTCCACCGGTGCCGGCCCTTGGCCTACCACTTGCTGCCTTTTCCCTGCGTCTGGGTTTTGAGGCTGGGGGTGGTTAGAGAAACCCCAGGAGGTTTTCATTAATGCTCCTGGGTGAGATCAGACAGGGCACAGACTCTGCCGGGAGATGCTCTCTGCATTGGCTAAGCGTCCCGTGGGCGGGGCTCGGGAAAAAGGGAT